CTTAAGTAGATTTAACCAAAAAAGGGATATTACAAACTGTCAGAAGCTCAAGACAAAATGAGAATCTCAAACACAACAAGAGAAAAGCATCAAGTTATGTGTAAGAGAATCCCCATTAGACCAACAGCAGACTTCTCAAGCAGAAACCCTGCAGGCCAGGTGAGAATGAGATCTTATATTCAAAGTGCTGATAGAAAAAAACTGCCAGCTGAGAATACCATACCCAGAAAACCTATCCTTTAGAAATGAAGGAGAAATACAGACTTTTCCAGACAAGCAAACAGTGAGGACTTCATCATCACCAGCCCTTCCCTAGAAATGAGAAATAACCATCATTATGAAATCACGTCCAAGTATAAAACTCTCGAAGAAGACAGATACACAAAAGAGACAGGAGAATCAAACCCTATCAGAAAACCACCAACCCATAAAGATGCACAAGAAGAGAGGAAAAAAGGCAACCAGATATCTAAGGCAACCAGAAAAAATAAACAAATTGACAGGAATTATGTCCTTACCAATAATAACTTTAAATGTAAACAGAATAAATTCTCTGACTGAAAGATAAATACTACAGGACTCAGAGAAAGCTACCAGTTTGAGACCAGTCCAGGCAAAAAGTTACTGAAATCCATCTCAAGCAATTAACTGGACATGGTGACACACGTTTGTGGTCCCAGCTACTCATGAGGCCACAGGTAGTGGTCAAGGTCCACACTGCCCCAGGCAAAAAACACAAGACCCTTTCCAAAAATTAACATAAAGCAAAAAAGAACTGGAGGGCATGACTCAAGTAGCAGAGCACTTGCCTACCAAACACAGGCCTTGAGTTCAAACCCTAGTACTACAATCCCCCAAAACATACAAACTGACCAAATGGAGTTAAAAAAAGAAACCCACCAAAACAAAACACAAGTTGGATGCGACCCGTGCACATAGTGCTGAGGATGCTGAGGCAGGAGAATTGTGAGTCTGAGGCCAATCTGTGCTACACGGCCAGACCCTACCTCAAAAAAGAACCCAAGACCCAATGATATGCTGCTTACAAAAAACTTTACTTCACTAGCAAAAGCACACATAGACACAGTGAACAGATGGAAAAAGATACAACACAGATACTAAGAAAAAATAACTGAAATCTGTAGGTACCCAAACTGGAGCACCCAATTATACAAAGCATTATTAGATTTAAAGGGGGGGGAAGGCTCCAATACTGTAGCAGTTGGACACTTCATCCCACTTCATTAATGGACAGTTCAGACAAAAAATATCAACAAAAAAAACTGAAGTTAAACTACATTATGGACCAAATGGAGCTGACAGACATTTTCAGAACATTCCATCCAACAGCTGCAGAATACATATTCTTCTCATTAGTACATGGAACATTTTGCAGGATACACAATGTCAGGTCACAAACAAGTCTCAACAAATTAAAAAAAAAAATCATAGCATGTATATTTACTGATCACAACAGAATACAAATGGAAAAACATGAGCAACTTTAGCTATTGTACAAACAGATGGAAATTTAGCAACATTCTCTTGATGTCCACTGGATCAATGAAGGAAACAAAAGAGAAACTTAAAAATTTCCTGAAACAAATGAAAATGGAAATACGACATCAACAAAACCTATGGGTCATGGCAAAAGCAGTACCAAGAAAGAAGCTTATAGTAATAAACATCTACACCAAATAAAATTTCAAGTAAGCAGCCTAGTGATATAACTCAAGGAACTAGAAAAGAACAAACCAACCCAAAATTAGAACAAGGAAGGAAATAACAAAGATCAAAGCAGACATGGAAGGGAAGGAGGGAGGGAGGGAAAGAAGGATGAGAGGAAAGGAAAGAGGCTGCATTTTTAAAACAATAAAATTGACAAACCTTTCCCTAGGCTAACTAAGAAAAAGAGAAGAGGGAGCTGGGGGTGTTGCTGAAGGGGTAGCATGCCTGCCTAGCAAACACAAGGCTCTGAGTTCAAACTCCCGTACAGAGAGAGAGAGTGTGTCAAATAAAATCAGAGATAAAAAAGGATGACTTCACTGCTGAATTGTTGAACTCATTCTACAAAGTCAACATTACCCTAATACCAAAACTACAGAAGGGCACAACAAGAACAAAAAATACAAGACCATAGACCGATATCCTTGATGAACATAGATGGAAAAATTCTCAACAAAATGGTAGCAAACTGAATTCAACAGTACGGCAGAGAGATCATTCATCATGATCAAACAGGATTCATCTCAGAGATGCAAGGACAGTTCAACATATGCAAATCAATATGCATAATACATAATATAAACAGAGTAAAGAACAAAAACCATATGATCATCTCAACAGATGCAGAAAAAGCATCTGATAAAACTTATCATCTCTTCATAATAAAAACATTCAATAAATTAGGTTTAGAGAAAAATATCTCAAAAAAGGTCACATGTGACAAACTCAGCCAAAGTAATGGTGAATAGGGAAAAGGTGAGATCATTTTCTCGAAGATCAAGAATAAGGCAAAGATGGTTACTTTTACCACTCTTAGACAGTAAAGTATTGAAAGTCTTAGAGCAGTAAGACAAAGAAACACGGGGCATCCAAATGGGAAAGGAGGAATGCCTATCTAGCAAGCACAAGGCCAGGAGGAAGGGATGGAGGGAGGGAGGGAGAGAGGGAGGCAGGAAGGAAGGAAGAAAGGAAGGTCAAATTATCCCCAGTTTGCATATGACATGATTTTATATTCAAAAAAACTAAAGACTCTACCAAAAAAATGTTAGAGCTGATACACAAAATTAATAGGATTGCAGGATATATATATGAACATAAATCAGTGTTTTGGGTTTTTATTAAAAAGACCACATTATTAATGAAATTGCTGAGAAAAAAAAATCAAGAAAGTGATCCCATTCACAAGAAACTACAAAAAAAACCCTAGAAATAAATTTAAGCAAAGAGGATCTCTATAATCTAAATTATAAAACACTGATGAAAGAAACTGAAGAGGACAAAAAAGAAAGGAAAGCTCTCCAATGTGCACGGATTGGAAGAATTAATAGTTAAAATAGTAAATTGAAAGTAATCTACAGAGTCAATGTTATCTCTATCAAAATATACAAATGACACACTACTAAAATTCATAGGAACCACAACAAAAACCCAAAGAGTCAAAGCAATCTTGAGCAAAAAGAATAAAGCTAGAGGCATAATACTACCTGACTTCAAAATGTTACCAATCATAGTAATAATCAAATGACAGGGTGCTGACATAAAAACACACATAGACCAATGGAAGAGAATAGAAAATGCAGAAGTAAATACACATATTTACAGCTAACTGAGTTTTGACAAAGGACAGCCTCTTCACTAAATGAGATAGAACCTGAATACTATGAAACATAGGAGAAATGCTTTAGGACATTGAACCAAGCAAAGGTTTTTTAAGATATGACCCTAAAAGCAAGACAATAAATGTAACAACTGACAAATGGGATTACATCAAACTAAAAAGCTTCCACACAACAAAGGAAACAACAAATGTAAAAGACAGCCTACAGAATGGAAGGAAATACTTGAAAACTATTCATCCAACAGGGGATTGATTTCCAGAATACATAATGACTCAAATAACTCAGTAGAAAAGAGTAAAATCACAATTTTAAAATGGCACATGTCTCATATAGACATATGTCAGAAAGAAGACATAAAAAAGGGTAAGTATATGAAAACATGCTCAACATTACTAATCACCAGGGAAATGCAAATCAGAGTCACAAGGAGATATCATCTCAGCCCAGTAGAAAAGCTATTTTCAAAAAAAAAACAAAACATAATAAATGCTGGTGGAGATGCAGAGAAAGAGTGTTGACTGAATGCAAATTAGTACAACCACCATGGAAGAGAGCGTGGAAGTTTCTCAAAAAACTAGAATCAGAACCACCATATGATCCAGAAATTCTACCTGGGTGTATATTCAAAAGAAAGGAAATCAGTATTTCCAAGACACATCTGCACTCACGTATCTACTGCAGAACTGTTCACAACAGCCAAGACATGCAGTCCACCTTGGTGTTGACAGATGAATGGACAGAGAAAAAGTGGTATGTATACACAATGCAATATTATTCAGGCATAAAGAAGAAAGAAATCCTGACCTTTGTGGCAACGTGGCTGAGCCTGGAGGATATGATGTTAAGTGAAACAAGTCAGGCACAAAAAGACAAATATTGCGTATTTTTACTTATTACATGGAAGTAGAGAGTAGAACAGTGATTACCAGAAGCCATGAAGGAGGAACAGGAGGGAGGGATGGAAAGAGGAAGGTTAATAGGAACAGGGGAGCAGCTGGACAGGAAGAATAATATACTGCTCTATAGCACAACAGGGTACAAGGTTTACACAACTGACTGCTTCAAAACAACCAGTAGAGAGGATTTTGAATGCTCCCAACACAAAGAAATGCTAAATGTCTGAGATGACAGATATGCCAATTACCCTGATGTGATCACTACACATTTTCCACATGTATTGAAACACTACACTGTACCCCATCAATATAATTACTATGAGCCAATTAAAAACTTCAAACACTTTTTTTAAGAGTACTTACATGATCACATAATTAAAGCAGATTCTGGACACAATTTAAACAATGAAGGAAAAGTAACCAAATGGGGTGGGTGGGGAGGGAAGCATCTGGGCTTCAGAAAAACCCTCATACTCAGCACTGGGAGGTTGGTAAATATTTAAAACTAACCCTAAGCTAAAACTTAAAAACCAGGTTAGGACTCAGCCCCATACAGCGTGATAGTGTGAACATGCAAGCAACACTGGAATAAACAGCTGGAGTGCACCCCAAGCACAGGGCTGGGAGAGACAGGAGGAGGTTTTCCTATGGCAACCTTGCAGCACCACAGCCATGTCATGCACTGGGGATCTGGTATCACTTCACTTTGATAAAGGTAAGGACAGCAGGGAAAAGATCTAGGACAGCCCGGCCTCCGAACCTGAACCAGCATGTGGCAGATGTCCACGTGGCCAGCTTCTGCAGCAGCGTGCAGTGGGGAACGCTTATTCTGGTGCTCCATTTTGAAGTTGGGATCGATTCCATCAACTGTGAACAAACAGTTTTACTAATTACATCAGACATGGCCATGATGCATGTTCATACACTCCTGACAGCTAGCAATGCCCACATGGGTGGCATCTTCAAGATAAATAGTCAGCCCTGCTGCCCTTCTTCATTCTGGGCTTCTTTCACGTTTTCATATGCTCCTGGTTTTGGCCTCCCCCAAGCCCATGAGGATGCTGACAAGGGCAAACCAAGCTTCAGGAAGAAACTGGGAGTGTGGGAGCAAGGCCATGAAATAACTGACCTGAACTTTTTTTCTGGGTTTTTTTTTTTAAGACAGGGTCTCACTATGTAGCCCAGGCTGGCCTTGAACTCACAATCTTCCTGCCTCAGCCTCCTGAATGCTGGGATTACAGGCATGGCCACCATGCCTGGCCATGACGTGGACATTTTTTTCAGACATTTAGCCAAGAGACCAAGCAGCAGTGAAGCGACTTGGCACTGTATGAAGTCTATTGAGGGAAATGAGAGCAAAATTGTCATTTTGGTCAAAATTAAATAAACTTTTTTTTAAAGCACAAACTCTTTAGTTTCTTTCATGATCTGCTGTCAAAGGGCTACTTAATCATTTTTTTCAACCAAGAGAAGATGACTTCAGAGAGAGCAACCTTGGAGTTGTGTGAGCTCAGAGATGCCACTGGCCTGACTCTGACACAAGCACATTCTCTGATGTGAGAACACTAAGCCAGGAAGTTCATCTGTTATAAACATGAGTGCAGAAATGTGTCTGTCGTCACTGAGTCAGACCTGTACACAAATGCTGCTCTGTTAGCACCAATGGCACTAGCTTCCTCATCACTGCATATCATAATAGAGCACTGGCATGCTAGTGTTGCTTTTTCTCATCTATGTTTCTGCTTGATTTAATAATCACCTAATTAATTCCATTCTAAAAGCTAGAATTGCATAAGGAACATTTCTAGTGCCATAAGTAGGTGAATGTGTGCATCATAAACATGAAACTTACTTTCACTAGTCAGGGAATCAGAATTGCAAACAGGAAAAGAGTTAGACCACACTCATAAGAAAAGGTGACCAAGAGGACTGCCTGGGCTCCTCCTGGGGCTGCAGGCATGGCCACTCACCCAGCATGAGGAGCACCTTCTGCAGCTCACCCTGTCTGGCTGAGAAATACAGTTGCTTCGGGTGGAAACGAAGCTTCTTGGGTCTGTGGGAAGCAGAGGACAACAGTCAGCATTGCCTGTGTCATACCCATGAAGCTGAAGGCTAAAGGACCAGGGTTACAGTTCCCTGCCAATTTCTCAAGGTCAAGTGCACCAAACCCCATCAGTAAACAACAAAACAGGGCAGGATATAGCTCAGTGATAGAGTGCTTGCCTACGAAGTGCAAAGCCCTGAATTCAATCCCCAACACTGCAAATAAATATATACTTTAATAATTAATTAGTTAAAAAAACAAATAATCTTCTAGATGCAGTATGAGAATGATATACAACATGACAAGAGAATCTACCCACGGCATAGGTGAGCTGCTTCTAGAGGTCAGGGAGGCCTGACATTGACACGACAAGTTCCCACCAGGAAGGCTCTGGTGGCACACTCCGCTCAGTCTTAAGTGGGATGGAAGCATGGTCTGCCCAGAAGCATGACTGCAGAGCTCACAAGACTCCTCACTCAGGACTTCAATGGTCTCACCTTTTGCGCTTAGCATAATTCCCCCAGAGAGTGTACACATTGCTACTTCTGATGGACAGTGTCACTCAAAAAGATGAAAAGCACTAGTGACCCATGGGGAAAGTATCGGGCCCTGAGTCACCTCTGAAATGCAGACCAGCTCTTACTTTTCAGAGTCCAGAGCGATTAGTGCACTTTCCAAGGTTTCCTTCCCGGGTCCCTGGGAAATGCCAGAAGTTGGCCTCACGAGCCCAGCTGGCCCTGCAGGGTCGAAGCCCTCGGGCACCTGGGGGGCTGTGCTCTGCGGCTTGTCATCCTCGGATAGTGGAGCTCCAGCAATGCTTCAGGGGAGGAAACCATTGAAATGTTGAGTTTCAATATTGGAAAAAGCTCCCTTCTCACAGAAACCAATGAAAGCAACAAGACCTGCCCACAGTGCAGCCTCTGGGTGGGGACAGGGACTATCCACTCACTGCCCGTGAGTCCTGGGGCAACAGCCCAGAACTTGAAGCCCTGAATTCAAAAGTCAGTGCATTGCCAAGACTCCTGGACACATGCTGACAGATAATTTTATGAATGAGCTCCAGGTTGCACCCATCCTACCTACTTGCCCTCCCCTACAGAAGGGAGCCACTGGAACTGTAACTCATGTGTTGAGTTTACAGGTCAACAGGAAGGCACTGACATGGTCCCAATTCTTAGTTTTGAGGTGTTCATATCTGAGTCTTCTATGTGACCTTTTATGAAGTTTTAGCTTTCTTTCTATGACTGTGATGTCATTAAGTTCTTTTCCCTTTGCTATTGTGTAGCTTGAGGAACATGTTACCATTTTGAAAGAGTTTTTGCATCATTTCCTTCCTAGCAGGATAAGGCTCGTGGAAGAGCTGACTATTGCATCTGTCTTACCCTCTCATTGACCACCATCAACTCCAAAATTCTTCCACTATTTATACTGGGCTCTCAGAGGAAGACCATTGTGCATGTCTGTATGGACACTTCTAACCCTTTCAGACTGCTTCCTCCTGTTCTGAGCGAGGGTCTTCAACACTGTGACAAGCAGCACAGCAGGAGCAGCCTGCCTCAGGTGTACAAACAGCTACCTGTGGGGACTGTGCTAGTGACAAGGACAAGCGGGGCAGAGAGGAAACTGATTCAAAACAAGCACATGAATCTGTAAGACCAAACCGAGACCCATGCACAGATGGCAATACATAAGCCTCAGTGTTTCTCAGATTCCAGAGATCACAACATTGCATCAGAGTTGGATTAGACTTCTGCAGAAAGAAGCAAAAAATGGTATCAACTAAAGAGGACACATCTTGAAGGACATTGTGTGGAAAGTGCAGCCAGAGCTGCTTCACCTAGTACCTGCCCGTGGTTGTGTCAGCTCTGCCCTCGGTGACCAAGCTCTTTTCCTGCCCGGGAGCTGGCATCACTGTGGAGGTTGTATCTGCTTTTGCTATGGTCACCTCTTTGGCCTTGGAGGTCTCCTCCCCACAGTGGGGACAGTAGCTGGCATTGTTCACTCGAGAGGCACAATCCTTGTGGAAACGGTGAGAGATGCTGCTCTCAGGCTGACATTCCATGAAGTTACCCTAGAAGTAGGAAGATGAAAAACATTTTTAAAAACTGGGATTAACGTTCAGAAAAATGCTCAAAGTTCTACTGAACCAGCCAGGCTGAGCAAACAATTGGAGTGAGGTGGGGTGGGGATGGGGGTCCAGTTTTGGCCCCAGCAGAGAAGCAGAAAGAACAGTGAGTTTGCAAAAAGTCCTAGAGAGAGCGGAGGACAGCAGAGGTCACCCCACTGCCACCTCTCCCTGCCACTACCAAGATGGCCTAGCCCTCATAGTCTAGCCACTCTATTGAGCAAGAGCTACACAAGAAGACATGGTCCAAAGACCTCAGAGAAGGCCCATATTTATGGGCAGATAAGAGTCCTGGTCAGAAGGCGAGCCTCAGGCAGAGGAGTGACAATAAGAACGGCAGGTGCTCTGAAGAAAGCTAGAGACAAGGGGACGCAGAAATGTTCTAATTCTCAGCAGACTGGGGAGGACACAGGTATGGCATACAAAGATAAGCCCAGAAGTGAAAGTTCCTGGATCAGGTCATAGAGGGGCAATAGAGCATATACCCACGCCTGAGACTGAGGAAGAAAGTAAGTGCAGTCACCCACATAAGCTCTGTGGGTAAGAGCCTATTCTAGGGACCTGGGCATTGATAAATATAAGTGTCTGATGAATGGAGTTCACAGCAGAGGACAGAGAGGTGCCCCTTCTCTGTGCTCAGACAGTTCACAGTATATAATGAACAGAGCAAAGATGCCAGGCCACACAGGTTGGGAGGACCAGGGGTTGCTTGTCTACAGCAAGAAAGCTCAAGAGCTATAGCAAGGGGCTTGTGCAGTGCTGGAGACTTCCTTGGGGAGGACCCCAGACTTGGGACCACATGCTGGGATGAGGCCACAGGAGACAGACACAGACTCAGCAGAGGACACATGGGGCCTGGCGGGTGTGCTGGGCTCTTACCGCCGTGCAGAAATAGCCGCAGCCAGGACAGCACTGGTGCTTCACCATGCGGCCCCGATGGTCTTCACACAGCACCAAGAGGGTGCCTTGTTGGATGGGCGCATCAGCTCATACTTGACCACGCTGTTTGTGCACCGGCCCAACTGAAAGCAGACAAGACCGGGGTCAGTGACAGAGTCATGAGCTTTTCCACCCACCAGATCCTGGGAAGTGCCCCTCATAAGAGCTGTTAAGTGTCATGAGACAGGCCCGGATTCATGAGCACATATCAAGACCTGCCAGCACTGGGAACCTGAAAAGAGAAGCCACTGTCTTCTGCACAGCCTGTGGAAGACAGAAGTCAGGTGACCACATTAAGAGGACCAGAAGCTTAACTCAGGCAGCAATGAAGGGAAACAAACACAGGGGTGAGAGGAAATTTGGACAACGGGCCATATGCCCAGGCAGAACAGCCTATGCCGTCATGATTAAGAACTGGGGAATGGTACAGTTGCCACAAGTTGTCCAAGGCACCCAGAGAACCCTGTACATGGAATCATACATGAGATGCATGAAACAGAGGGACAAAGTCTCCCAAGTCTGCCTGAGGGATGGCTGTCAGTGTGGAAGCCCAGGCTATTCTGGGTGAAGACACCTGAGATGCTCTTGTGTACTGCAACATATGGGACAAAGGTGATGTTTGCTACACAGATAAAGCATGCTGGTTTACTATATAAAGCTCTCTGACAGCCAGTAAGAAAACAAAGATTAAAAAAAATAGCCCAACAGGGAAAAAAAAAAGGCACAGAATTGAGTGGTAATTCACAAAAGAGCTACTATAAGTGCCCCCAAAACAAATGACAAATGTTAAAACATGCTGATAGTCAAAGAAATGCAACATAAACAGCCTTCAGCACTCTTCTGCTCTGTTGGCACAAAGCTGTTGTTCAGCCAGGCTACAAATACAGGCCAGTGCCTGTGGGGTCTGCAGAAAGGGACACAGCACTGAATTCTGCCCAAAGATTTTGGCAAGCAATTTGAAATATGAATCAAAAAGCTTCCAAATGTATCTTTTTCCCTAAGACTCCATCTGAAGACGTGGCTGAGTAAGTGCACAAGAGCAAGGGAGCATTCAGGCCACAGCAACTGTAGCAACAGAGGAGGAGGGACAACTAACATGGCCAGCCAGACAATGGGGCTCCACTGGCTCCAAGAGGTTTACTAAACACAGCCTGGGCATTGCCCCGAATCCACAAACCAAAACTTGGAAGGGGAGACCCAGGATATGTATATCTTGAAATAGCTACACTCTGACCCAACACCACCAAATGATTCTGCTACAAACCCTTGATCAAGACCTGTAGGTGCTAATCATTTATAGATACTAACTTGGAAAAATGTTTACAATATCCTAAGGGAAAAACATGTTATTCAAAAAGAAATTCAAGCTGGACACTGGTGGCTCACACCTGTAATCCCAATTACTTGGGAGGCAGTGAACAGGGGAATCATGGTTCAAGCAAGCCTAGGCAAATATAGTTCATGAGACCATATCTCAAAAATATCCAACACAAAAAAAGGGTTGGCAGAGTGGCTCAAGTGGTAGAGTACCTACTTAGCAAATGTGAGGCCCTGATTTAAACCCCAGTACCAACACCAAAAAACAAAAACACAAAAGAGGGGCACCCTCTCTTGGGAAACCAACCCCAAACTCTGGAGGCTCTAATTTCCAAATTTACACTTTTCTATCTCAATAACCTGTTCAACTTTATTTGCAAAAAAAAAAAAAAAAAAGAAGAAGAAGAAGAAAAGAAATTCAACATGATATGTACATAGAAAGGTCTGGAAGAGTATACAAACATACTAAAGAATGATTACCTCAATTTTGGAATACAAGGCTTCATGCATGTATTTATTACCTGATTTTTAAAATAATGAGTACGCATATTTATAAAATCATCAACAATGATAGAGTTGTATGGGTTTGTCAGTAGTCTGGGATGGGAATGGAGACAGAGTTGGGTTAGGGGATGCCAGTCAAATGGCAGAGTACAAGGCAGGTGATGTTTTGGAAAGAGTACTCCAAAGGAATGACAATGGAACCCAGCTAGAGCTGAGATAAAGCAGAAAAAGTTAATGAACATGAGGAGGACAAATGCACTGGCACACCTGGTGCAGCCCCAACTCCATGGGGAAAGGAGCAGGAAATACCCAGGAACACATGGCAGATCCAAGAAGAGAGGAGCCCTTTTCAGGCAAGGTGAAAAGCAACCCAAAAGTCACTGACTTGGCAAAACAAAGGACTCAAACCTGCCTACATTCAGGCAGAGAACAAGGGCAGAGCCCAACTAGCCTGAAGAGTTGGACCTACTCTCCAAGAGAGGCAGGGCTGGCTTATGAGAGAAGTGGACAAGCAGAGCTCCAAACTTGGCTTGTAACAACCCTCTGCCACAAAAGACTTCCTGTAAGCTCCAGAGTGCCTCTCTGTACTATTAATCCATCTATTAAAAAACTTCATGAATACAGACAAAAGTACAATGAACTCCATGAACCCACGCTAACTGCAAAAATCACCAATATTCTTCATTTTCAGAATATTGGAGACAGGCTGGGAGTACTTATTGGTGAAATCATATGGGATTTTTGTTTGTTTGTTTTTGTAGTACTGGGGAATTAACCCAAGGCCTTGTGCATGCTAGGCAAGTGCATCCCATCTAGTTACAGCCTCAGTCCAAAATCATATTAATTCAGAGTGCATTGCTCAGAAGTCATGTTTAACCTAACCTTAATGTCATCCTCAACAAAAGCAGTAATAAATCCTCAGAGCACCTCAGGGTTCAAAGGCTCTTTCTGTTGGTTTATTAGGACAAAACAACATGAGTATATGGTATCAGGCCAGTCTTTCATCATGTATGGGATGCTTTTTTTTTTTTTTGCTTCCCTTCATGCAATTCACCTGTTGTAGAACCTGGGTAATGCTTGCTACAGAAGCCCCTTTCTGACCTGACTAGTTACATCAGCAAAGTTCCCTTTCACATGATCTTGTATCATCCACACCTGAGATGTTGCAGTGGGGTCAAGACACAGAAGCTTCCAAGCCTGGCTCGGGCAAGTCATCCCAGCCCCTCTGCAGCCCAGGGTGTCCACAGGTGAGGATTCTCCTGTTCCGTGCCAAAACGCCTGATGGTGCAGAGAAGTCGGTGAGGGTGGGACAGCCTGGAGCCAACACACCCTGCACCTAGTTCTCACACAGTGCTTGCCTATGGAGAGCTAAGACAAAGGACAAAGACTCAGAATAATGAGAAGCACAGAAATGGTGCCAAAGGAGAGGTACATGCATGAAACACCATCAACAAACATCCTCAGATGTGAGATCATAGAAGTTCTGCAATTAGAAGAGGAGGGCAAAGTGTCCATTAAATGAGACAGAACATTTAATGAGATAGAATGTCTTCTCCGTGTGTGTGTGTGTGTGTGTGTGATAGAATGTCTTCTCCGTGTGTGTGTGTGTGTGTGTGTGATAGAATGTCTTCTCCGTGTGTGTGTGTGTGTGTGTGTGTGTGTGTGCGCGTGCGTGCGTGCTTGCCCACTTGAGCCATACTCCCAACCTTTTTTTGTTTTGGTTATTTTTGAGACTAGGGTCTTGCTTTTTGCCCAGGCCAGCCTGAACTGTGATCATCCTATTTAAACTTCCCTGACTAGCTGGAATGACAGGTGTGTATCACCACACCCAGGTATTGGTTGAATTGGGGTCTTGCTAACTTTTTGCCCAAGTTGGCTTGGAAGTACAATCCTCCTCATTTTTATCTCCCAAGTAGCTGTGATTACAGGTGTAAGCCACCATAACCAGTCTCAAGTGACCTTTCTTAAGAAGTGGCTAAAGATTATGTTCCACCAGTACCAAGAGTAAGTCAAAGATGTGTGACCAGTAACAGAAAAAGATGAGATGAGGATAAAAAGACCAACAAGGACCAGACATTATGACACACACTTTTAATCCCAGCTACTTGGGAGGCAGAAATCAAGAGAATGGCGGTTTAAGGACAGCATAGGCAAAAAGTTAGCAAGAGACCCATCTCAACAAACAGTCTAAGTATGGTGGTTCATACCTGTAATCCCAGCTATGTGGGAGGCATAGGTAAAAGGACTGCAATCTGAGGCCAGTCCTGGGTAAAAAGTATGAGATCCCAGCTGAAAAATAACTAAAGGAAAAAAGGGCTGGAGGAGTGGCTCAAATAGCACCTACATAGCAAGGGTCAAGTTTTTTGAAGTGTTGAGTTGAAACCCTAGTACATCGAAAAAAGAAGATGAGGAACACATGGTGGTGGAGTGGCTCAAGTGATAAGAATGCCTGCTTAGCAAGTGTGAGGCCCTGAGTTCAAACCCCAGGGCCACCAAAAAAAAAAAAAAGAAAAGAAAAGAAAAGGTGCTTAACACCATTAGTCGTTGAGGGATACAAATTAAACCATGCCAAGATATCACTACATACCTGCTAGAAGTCTAAAGCTGCCTAGCAAGGCCAAAGCCCTGAGTGCAAACCCCAGTTTGAACACAGTCACAAAGCCATTGACTCCATCAGTGTGGGACGAATTACAGCAAGTACACAGAGAACAGAAGGAGCAAAACATTATTAACTCCAAGGAAAAAACTCCTTAAACGGTTCCAGAAAAGAAATGCAACTGAAACTCCCCTCTACTCAGAATAGCTGTGCACAATCCCAAGTGTCCTGAGAACTGGGACCCACAGATTAGGCACTGGGGGAGGACAGCAGAGAGGAACAGAAGGCACACTGATGATACCTCAAGAAATAAAAAACAGAAGGGATCAGAGGTTGTCTCAGAGGGGAAAACCTGAGAGCCAGCACAAGGCTGGTGTGTTAGGGTTCTGAGACACAGAAACCAGAGGCTGACCTGTATTGCTCTGTTGTGTCAGGAGCAAAATAGGCAATGGTCATCACTGTGGCCAGAAGAGATAGCAGTGGACAATCTAGGGATGTGAGGAGGCTCAGATGGATGCACATTTCTGTGTTTCAGTCAAACTTGAACCAGGAAAGGAGCCTCCTGGCCAAACTGCCCCAAAGTTCACCCTGGTGCAGGGCAGAAAGCGGGGGGGAGGCATGTGCACTCCAACTCCCAGCAATAAGTAGAGTCTGCACCACCCACAGAACTGTCAGAGAGGGCTTCCTTTGAAGCAGGCACTGCACATAGTGCAGAGCTCACAGTGGAGAGCACAGGAGAAAGTGATGATCGTCATGATGCATTGACATTTCAACGGGACTGCCCAAGAATTCTAGTGTCAAATATGTTTAAATACATGAGCTCATAATGATACTGTAAAGGAAAAACTGGTCAGCTTCAGATGCTGATGGAGAACCAATTCGGTGTCTTAAGGGTTGAGCAACAGAGTGCAAGAACTAAACCTCTGTCCTGCCTTGCATCCATCAAAGCCAGAATTTAGAACAACACCATTTTGAAACCTCCAATGCATGAAAAACATAGGCCACAGCAGCTGCTAACATCAGAAAAAGGGAGACAGATAGCTACCTCCTGCCCTCTCTTGAACAAACTTCCCAATAGTTTCACAAAGGGATTGGGCTGATCTGACCCCAGCTCCAAAACAAGCAGCTTTGCCAAGAAATACAGAGCTGAGCCACAATCTGAGTGTGGGATTCACAGAATCCGGAAGTGTGAGCCCTGATGGCCAAACAACCTGGCAAAAGTGGGAGGCTCTATTTCTTGATCTTGATGGTACTACCAGAGGTAATCTGAGATGAACTCGTTAAGCCTAACACTTGCTTTGTAGTTTACTAGATCTAGGTTTAATTTTGCAACACAACAGTTTTTAACACATAAAATTCAGAAAAGACTGTGAGTTCTCTAAAATTGCTATAGAGAGGAACAGAAATCAAAGGGAAGAGGAAGAAGCAAAGTAAGCCCACTGCACATAACCAGAGGCCAGAGTGCAACACACTGATCTGAGAAGGAGATATAGCTATGCATTGTGCATCTAGTGAGAAACCAACTGCATGGATACCAAATTGCCCTAGTGGATGAGGGAAAGTTTGTCTGTGTCTAATAATTCCAGCCTCTAATTGCAAAAGAGATAACAGAAGTGCAAAACTCCAACTTGTGTGCTACATGTGACAAACCTACAGTCAACATCATACTCAATGGAGAAAAAACTGAAACCATTTCCTCTGAAGTCAGGAACAAGACAAAGGTGTCCACTCTCCCCACTCTTATTCAATATAGTACTGGAATTCCTAGTGAGAACAATAAGGCAAGAGAAAGAAGTAAAAGGGATTCAAATAGGGAAGGAAGAAGTCACATTATCTCTATCTGTAGATGACAGATCCTAAATATTCCACCAAAAAAACTCCTAGATCTGATAAACATTTTTTGCATCACAGCAGGATATAAAGTCAACATAAAAAATCAGTAGCTTTTCTGTATACCAACAATGAACAGCTGAGAAAGAAATCAGGAAAACAATTCCACTCACAATAGCCTCAAACAAACAAAAAACCTTGGGTGTAACCCTAACCAAGGAGATGAAAGAAATCTTCAATGAAAATATAAAACCTCAAGAAAGAAACTGAAGAAGGTATGAGAAGATGGAAGGATAAGACTGGCAGAATCAGTATCATGAAAATGGCTGTATTAGAGAAAGCAATCTACAGATTCAATGCAATGTCATTCTTTGCAGAAATAGAAAAATCAATCCTAAAATTTATATGGAAGCATAAAAGGCCAGAAACAGCAAAAGTAATCCAGAGCAAAAAGCACAGCACTGGTCATATCACAATACTGGACTTCAAATTATACTACAGAGCCATAGTAATAAACAGAATAGCTCTTGCACAAACAGACACAAAGACCAATAGAACAGAAGGCAGCATAATGAAATCCACCAAACACCCTGAGAAATGAGGAAGAGGAAATGGCAATATAATGGAAGGGGTGAATTTACTGTTTTTGTTTGTTGCTTGTTTTACAGAGGGGGTGAATTTAAAAAAAGAAAAAGAAAAAAACTGCAACTGTAATGAAATAACAGATTCAGGCAGTGGTGAGAGGACATTAAAATCTTTAGAAGAAAGGCTGATGAGAGACAGGTAGCCCCAAAACCCTGATTCACCTTAGCATCCCTCCAGCATCCCAGCATACCCTCCTAAGTATCTGAAGTCTCTAACCCACCATACCTTTAGATCCCATTTTCAGGCCATAGGAACTAAGGGGAGTAACAAATAGCACAAGAAAGCCATCAGCTGTATTTAGAGTCTGGTGTCTAGTTTCCCCAACAGGTCACTAGTGTAGGAACCTGGAGAAGATGTAGCAGAGAGAACAGACAGCGCCTGGCACAGAGGAAACACGTGTGAGTTGTTGCTGTTAGTACTTCACACATTCCTAAAACTTATAGCTCAAACTCAGTATTTCAGTTGACAAAAATGACTCCAAAGAGCAAAAGGACTAGACACTTCACTGGAATGACAGCCATGGGCATCCATCACAGAGCAGAAGGAACCAAAGCACCACATGATGACCTCTTCCTTCCTCCAGAGAATGCCTGACCAAATGCAGCCAGGCAGAGGAGGATACCAACGATATGTGACCACATGTGGCACCTCTCCCAGTGACAGGCCAAGCTTGCTGCTCAGCGCCACCTTTGGCTAGCCTCAGCCAAGTAGCTCCAGTGGCCGAAAGAAACTTTGCCAAGAAGTGGAGAAATTCTCAGAAAAGGGATTCCCTCCATGTGCTGCCTCTTCCTCCTCTTCAGTTCTAGGAACAAGGGAAGAGGGGCTGTGAAATCCTCAGCAAGTCTAAGTCACAAACAGCAGGAGGAAAGTGACACTGGGTGAGACCTGTCCTGAGCAGCAGGTGCACCTGGGAGTAAATGTCCTATCTCAACCTATTCATTTCTGAGTTTATAGCAAGGTAGTAAAAACCTTTATAAAAGCATGGTCACAAAAGAAGTGAAGCAAGCTGTGTAGTTTATCTTTTTCAGCAGGCTCTAGATGTATATTCTGCATCTCATCACCAGTAGCTGCTCCATCAGCCCTGTGGAAAGTCTGTGTAGACCCTTTGTCATGTGAGACCACGGGCTGGACCTTAATTGCAAAAAGCTGTACTTTCTGGTGCATGACAATTCCTGCAGCTGTTTTAAGTGAAAATAAACATGCTTACTTCGTGATCCACGCTCTCGGTGGCCATGCACTGGTTGTTGGCCAGGGTACTGATCTCACGGCTCTTGGGGGTTTCCATCCGGCAGCTGCAGAGAGGCACTTCCTGGAGGCCATCCGTCTCCAGCACGTCCGGACCGTTGGCCAGCCCTAAGTCACACAGACACGCATCAGCTTATGCAACCCTGACCTATAAAGACCATTCAGAGCAATCAATTCCAGAGTCTTTACAGTCTCTCTCTTTAGACTCTTTTGCATGGAAATAAGAGCAACACCATGCGTTATGCACCAGCACTGCTCAGGAGGGGCATCCACATGCCCCTTGACACCTACCACAGTGGGAAAAAGGCACAGGATGTGTGAGCCTCTCCCATGGACAGGCCTCCTACCAGGTCCCAAAGAATGACTTGCTAATCCATCTTCTCAAGGCCTGTGCCACAGGTCAGAGGGAGAGGTTCCATATTCATCAGCAACTCCTCAATCTTCTGGGTTTCACACAAAAAAGCATTCACTAAATGCTGAGACCTTGTTTTCCTCATTTGGTTTAAAAATTACACCCCTTCTCCCCAAAAAATTACACCCCCCCCAAGAGAAATTCAATTTTTAAGGCTTTATTAATCATTTACTTATTGTCTAGAATATTATCTACCTATCACATCATCCAAAAAAGCCCATATACTAGGCTGAGAGGAAAAAAATTGGGAAAAACAAAAATAAGCTAGAAGATAATTTGGCCTACAAATATTAATTATAACAGCATTTATCATTCACAGTTTAGACTGATGTGGAGATTAGCAATGAGACAGGAAGCAAAGCCTGAGCACAGCAAAGCTGGTGCCTACTTCACCTGGGGGCAGAAAGGCAGAATCTAACCTGGTCACCCTAAGAGGGAGGTGGGGGATGGAGGTCATAGGTAGTGGCTGCCAGAAAGATCATGCAATCTTATGAGTGGCTCCTTCCAAAAGAAGCCAGAGCCCCTGCATGTCCTTTTGTGAAACAGCAGAAATAGAAATTGAATCAGTGTTTCAAATACTATTACCTCTCTAAATTAAAAAAATTAATTCTAGGGCTGGAGGTGTGGTGGCTCAAGTGATATGCTGAGCAAGCTTGAGGCCCTGACTTCAAACCCCAGTATTGCCCAAAAAATAAAATAATAGTAATAATAATTACCTCTGTGTTTACATCTAAAAATACACTGCTGAAGTAGATTAAACTGCACCAGTCAGTCACTGATCAGTGATTTTTCCAAGCCAGTTAAGCCATGGAGGCCACCTGGACATTGCCTATTTCACAGACAACAAACCTTTCGGCTATTTCTTCTAAATGTCTGTATTTTAGAAAAATGAAACTTATGCTCAGCCAATCAGAAGCAGCCAACTGATTTATTGACAGACTTATGAGTAAGGCAGAAGGTAACTGTACCCAAGTAATGATTTGCTTGCAGATTTCCATGTCTGCCCTATACAACCTTCCCTTGCATTTCTTGATTGCTTCTGGTCTGGAGCTGTCCAATCCACAAATCACTCAGACAAATTCTCTACAAGTGCATGCTGCCTTAGTCAGCCTCCAGCAATCTGTCTTCATCCCATGAAGCCACTCACTATTCATCTCTGACCTATTAGTAATCGGCATAGGTCCTAGCCAGGAGGTAGTCCATCCTTACCCAGGGTCAACAAATGAGGGACAGCCTGAGTCATGGGTTTCTAAAAAGAAAGGAGCTTGTAACTCTGGCTGTCTGACTTCCCAGTCTAGCCTCTGGAGTCCCTCACACCAAAACGTCAAGAAATGTGAGGCAAAACTCAAATTAGAATCACTTCAAATTTAAAACTGTAAGGGCCTCTAAGATAATCCTGTTCATTAACTTGGCTTTTAAATAGGGAAACAGACAAATCCACAAAGAAGCAGTCAGATAACTGTCCTTCCACTGTGCAGACCATGTGTGGCTAAGGAAGCTGAAGTCAGGTGGAAAGAACACAGGATCTACACACCTGGGCAGCAGTGTCATGGCACAGACATCTGTGTGTGTTGGGGTGTGCTCCGGTCCTCAGCAGCAAAGAATTACAGGGGCAGCAAGAGAAACGACTGACATAGCCTCCATGTACACAACCTCTCCACTGAGCTCAGCTTGTCCTGCTCTCCCATATAACCACTGTCATAAGCTCCTGACCTCTCCCAACCTCAAGTCCTCTGCCTCCTGTTACCTGCTGGGATGACAACATCACTCAGCTCATCTAGAAGCAGACACATGAGAAAAGAAGCTGATGCAAGTGGGGATTTCTGACAGCAGCACAAATGTTCTCTTATCCACACATGCTCAAGTTCTGGTTTTGAACCATGACTAGAACCACCACCTGTTCCTAACTGGGCTGAGCAGTCTTCCAAGGCCTACACACCTGTTGCAGCCTTGCTCTCCCACTTCCTTCCCTCAGGTGTCCCTCCTCCATGCTTGAAGCATGAACACAAGTGATTAATGCTCTGTTTTGTTTCTTCTAGGTGTTAATTCTCTCAATGAAAAGCATGTTGAGCAAACCAATTACTGATTGATCAATCAGGACTGATCAATCAAAGTTAAGTAAATTTGGGGAGGCCAATTTATAAAATACCATGGAATCTGAGGAAACCACTATAAATTGGCCTTCTCTTCCCTTATCTCTCTAACTTGGCCCTCACCATTCAGGCCCCTGGGCCAGCCACTCGTGGCTCTTTGCAGTTACATTTACCACTTTTGGTACTTACTTTTACTAAAGACAGAGAGATGTATTTTTAGGTGGAAGGGCCTTTGCCATCTTAACCTCCTGCCACAACAGCCAGCAGGTTTCCTGCACAGCAAGTGAGTCAACTTGAAAAACAGTACTATTCCCTCCTTACAGTCAAATCGCCAACCTCTTGAGTCCTCCAAGTTTAAAAGTTTAGAATAAGAAAACTTAAACATAGTTACGCTTATGTAGAAAGGACGCATGGGGTACATACGATGAGGGTTTATGATCCAGTTGGTGTGAGATGAATTAAAAATCATTTTCTCTGATGGACAAACCTAAGATTCATGTCTTTTTTTTTGAGGTACTGGGGTTTGAACTCAGGGCCTACACCTGAAGCCACTCCACCAGCCATTTTTTTTGTGCTGGTTTGTTTTTTTTTTTTTTTTTTTTTTGTGAAATAGTGTCTTGAGCACTATTTCACTATTTGCCAAAGCTGGCTTTGAACCGCGATCCCCCTGATCTCTGCCTCCTGAGTAGCTAGGATTACAGGCATGAGCCACCGGCGCCTGGCTAAGATTCATATCTTAACCTAAAGATAGTTTCCTAAATTATACAAGTGAATCACACCTCTTTAAGCATTCAAACTCCTAAAAAGTCAGTCATTTTGTCATTTTAATAAATGATTCATTAAACCCCTACTGTAAACCACAACTCTATACTTGCAAAGCCTACGTGGAATGTAAATAGCTACAAGATTTTACATTCCCTCCCAGTATTATATTCCACAGACAGTCTTCCAAGATCACCAGTGACTTTCAGTTATAGAAAGTTTCTAAGTGATTAAAACAGAGGGGAATGGACAGAGAAAAGTGACAGCAAGCTTGCACAAGAGCTTCCAGCAGGCACTGCTGGAGCATCTGTGACTAAAGGCACATAGCAGCACCTGGGCACTTCATGTCAGAACATACCTGGGAGCAGTCTGCTCAACACCAGCCAGAAGACAGCTGCAACCAACCAATTAGAATCAGAGACCATCTGAAGGCACACTTCAAAATAGGCTATCCATTAAGTTCTGAGACATGGCCAGAGAAGAAGGACACCTTTTAATCACAGTGTGCCTGGCCCACAGTGGGGAAAACACTGTAAGACACAACCTCCTGCAACCTATATGGCAGGAGGTGACTTCCACTATGCTCTTGGAGGTCTCCCATACTTTCTGCCACTTGAGTATTGCAAGTGACCCAGTTAATGTATTCTGTAGCACCTGTAAGTGGTGAATTAGATTCTAGACAGACAAGGGAAGGTCAATCATGTCTGACAAGTCATCAACAATTCGAAGAACATGAGTAGTCCTTGTATCCGCGTCACCTTAGTGATGCATTTGATCAGACTTTCTAGTAACATCCACCAAGAGGTATCAGACGAACAAAAAGAGCAAGATGGCATAGTCACAGTTCCAACACCAACCTTCACTTTCGGCTTGGGAGGACAGAATCCCTCTGACGCGGAGATCCAATGAGTCCAGAGAAACTTCCATATACCCCGTGCTGTCTCCCGGAGCCGTCTGCTCAGTGCTTCCTGGAGACGACTTACACGCCTCAGAACCTACACGCAGAATGCACATACTATAAGAATCGAGCAGATAACCACACCCATCCAGACTCCCAGGCAAGAGGCCACTTCCCAGGAAAGGGACAATTTTAATGAATCCATTCAAAACATAAACTGTGATGCCTATTACCTGGACCACCCCAGTTTCACTGTCATTTTCTCCCTGTGCATCATTTTGTTAATTCCCTACATCTACTTAGTATAATTATGAGGGGCTGCATTGAGAAAAACAACAGCACAAACACATTAAAACATTTTTCTCTATCTCTTTCCCTGCTAAATAAAAGCTGAATCAAGTAACCAAGAGAATGGATAAAAATGTGATAAATGTTCTGTAAATTGCCTTAAAGTAAGATAGAAAAGTCTAATTTGCAGGTTTGAAAGACCAGCTGACATAAAGTAGCTGAAGAAACAGCCCAAACATGCAGAGTGGCTAGGAAATCTATGTTCACTGAAGGTGCTGACCTTCAGTTGTCCTGGCCGACACAGGGGGTTTCCCATGGACAGGTTAGCATCAATCCCATCAGACACAGAAACCTATGAAGTACACCACTCACCAGAAAGCAATAAAATCTAAATATGCTAAGAAGGGATGGCTGCAGGAGGACTAGCTCAACAGTGCAATGGGAGGTGCCAGGGCTTCCCTCAGACTCAGGGACACAGGATGGTAGTAGCAGTAGGCCAGCCTGTCCACACTTCCCAGAAGGGCCCAAGAGAGAGATATAAAGTCAAGTTTCTGCAATTTTAAGGATGTTTCCTAAAGAAAAGTCGGGTGCCAGTGGCTCACACCTGTAATCCTAGCTTCCCAGGAGGCGGAAATCAGGAGGGTCACAGTTCAAAGCCAGCCCATCTCTAAAATAACCAACACAACACAAAACAGGAGTTTAAGTGGTAGGGTCCTGCCTAGCAAGCATGAGGCCGAGTTCAAACCTCAGTACTAGGGAGAAAAAAAAAAAGCTAAGGAAAGTATACATTAATACCAGCAAAGGGGAAATGACCATGTTACATAGCCAACCTTCTAACTACTGGTCATCAATATTATTTCAATATAATTATTTTAAAACAAATGAACCATTACCACCAAGAGATATGATACCCAACATCTTTTAATTCACATCTGCACAATTTAAAGAACATGAGTGGTCAAATTTTAAATACTTTATGTAAAGAAATAAAATTCAAACTCCTATTTGAGTAAATATTTAGGCACACAGTACAGCCAAAATGAAAAAGATGAAGTCTCTATCCCAAAAACAACTTTGGTCTTGGACCTATTGTCAGCCAAGAGTAAAAGCCTTATCAGCGCTCTGACCTCAATGGGTAATCCTGGGGGAAAGGAAACACGCTGAAGGAGCAGACGGGATGTCAGGCCTCTCCATGGCCTCCCTGTCTCAAGAGGCTGCCTCCAGACTCCAGTCAACAGACCTCTTCTGCTAGAAGCTAGAGGAATAGATGACATCGTTCAAAAGAGGAGCCACATTCTGCTGCTTCATGGTAGTAGCATAAAGGCCAACAAAGAGTAATGGAACCAGTTAGCAAGCCCAGTAGCCACCACATCCTGCTGACACAAGCTCCCAGGCAAAGAAGTCAATCTGACCCATGGTGCCCAATCAGCTGCCTACCTATAGGAGGGAGTGGACTCTTCCTAACACCATGCTCAAACATTACCTCAGGTACACCAGGGATCCGTGTGAGCACTGTAAAACTTCAGAAGAAAACAGACAGATTCTGGTGACTGGGGTTACTCAGATCACAAAAAGTATGAACATAAAAGAAAATCTATAAATTAGACTTCAAAAAATTTTAACTATTGCTCTTACCCTACCCTAAACATATCCTAAGAAAAATAAAAAAGCCAGAGACTAGGTACAAATACATGCAAAACATCTATCTGATTAAATAATTTGTATTCAAAATACTTATAGAACTCTTACAACTCAGTGAGAAGACAAATGAGCAAAAAGATACAAACTCACACTTCACAAAAGGATACAGAAAGGCTGAGAGGTACAACTTCATTTATTCATCAGGTAAAAACAACCTGATAGCACTGTAGGACCATGGGAAACACTGAAGTGAATTAGACTAAAAACTCCAATAAGCCTAGCAAGACAGAGAGGGGCTGAACCCAAGTGTTGCCATGGGGATGTAAAAGAGGATCTATGCTTTTGAAAAAGAGCTCAGAAGTTTCTGAAAGAGCTGAGTGCTCAGCACACAAATCAGACATGCCACTCCTGGATATACAGACACATGGAGCACCTGCCTGGTGAAGGCTGCACACAACTCACAGCAGGTTTCTTTCTAGCAGTCCAACTCGAAAGAGCCCAGAACCCACCTAAAGGAGTGTGGTGAAAGGGCCACGGTATAGCCACGTGGTGGATTACTTCTTGCCAGTGGACGGGAAGGAACTTTTCAACACATGTAACAGCAGGTAGACTCAAAACAATTACACTCAAGCTGGGAGCAGTGGCTCACATGTGCTTTCCCAGCTACTTGGGAGGTAGAGATTAGCAGGATTGCAATTTGAGGCTAGTCCAGACAAAAAGTTAGTGAGACATCCCCCACATCTCAACCAGTAAAAGCTAGGAGTGCTGGCGCATGCCTTTCATCCCAGCAGGAAACAAACAGGAAGGTCGTAGTCCAAGCCTGTTGGGCAAAAAAACCTAAAGCAAAAAGGGCTGTGGCTCAAGAGGTAGAGCACCTGCTTAATTTGAAGCTCTGAATTCAAATTCCACTTGTTAACTTAAATTTCTCTAACAAAGTCATTCAAATATTTGTTAACAGTGGACCATCTTTTCAAGTGAAATCCTACACAGAACCTCAGCCCCAGGCTGAGCTGAGGCCCCACACCAAGTGCGCAGGCCCAGGCTTCACTGTGCTTACCAAGCACGCCGCTTGGCTTCTTTCTACTTCTCCGCCTCCTTTTCCGAGCTGGCTTGATCCAGGGGCTGTCGGTCTTTCCTCTCCTCTTGAGAAATTTCTTCTTGATGCTGGATTCAGAACTCTGGAGGACCAAAGGACAGATACATCAGAAGCAAAGCAGAGGGAGCACCTGAGAACAAAAACGACTAGGAGTTGTTTGCCTGCAAAATAAAATTCTTGCTATTTCTTGATTCTTCCTCTCAAAGACTCACTTCGCTTTTAGACATTTTTCTGGGTTACATTCTAAAGATACTCATGCTGTTCCCTACACATCTCTCTATGCTCAGTCCTTTTAGAAGTAGAAGAGTCAAGAAAATTAAAATAGAATTTATAACTCTTATTTGAGTTTGACACAAAAGAAAATAATAAAATGGAAAATTCTTCTCAGGAACTACATAAATGAACTCAGTAAGCAATCAACTTTCCATCATAAGTATCCACCTGTTTTGCTCCTAAGGAAAGGAAGTACCCAGGCCACATGGAGAGCAGGGAAAGAGCTGCAATGCACCAGTAACCACCAGGAGTCAGGAGTATGTGCTGGTAGCTGACGTCGGAGAGGGACAGGTCATGCTAACAGAGCATGAGGGTTTGCGATCCTTCTTCCCAGTGGCTCAAGTGGTAGAGTACTTGCCTAGCAAGCCTGAAGCCCCAAGTTCACCGCAAAAAAAACCAAAACTGTGAGTTTGAAACCAGCCTGGGCTACACAGCAAGACCTTATCTCAAAAACAAAAACATGACTCCAAGGAAGGATGCTGTGCTTGACACATACGGTCACACAACACAGCATGTCAGCTGTCCCAATGGACCAGAGTGTGTCCTGCTGCAGCTGCTTCAGCTGGGATGGTGCTGGGGAACCATCTTCACGATACATGCCTGCACTGTCTGTATCCCTTCCCCCAAACAGCCCTCACTACACAAAACTTCTGGTAGAACTTCTGCAAGCAAAGCCTTCAACTGCCTTGACCCTGCCTCCTCAACCTGGAAACAATACTTACTCACCAAACCCAAGGGTCCACAGCAGTTGACTCCATGGGCCACCTTCTCTCTCTTCAGTTCTATGTCACATGATCTGAGGCCCCACACTTCCTCCCCATAGCAAAGAGACCTCCTTTTTGAGCTCACATGTTGCTCACCTCCTCTACTCAGCACTCATGCACTAGAATTCCCAAGGATTCATTAGCTCAGTAACTAACCGTGAGGAAAGGAATGAGCAAGGCTCAGTGTGCTCCTCACACTGCCCCATTTCCTAGCCCCCCACTCCGACAGACTTTCAGGCCCCAACTCAGTGGCTTGCTGGGTGCAACAGACCTCAGCAAGGGAAGAGCAGGACTCTGCTCCCTCCATTCTACCTCAAAGCATCTCAAATCTAGCACTTCCTCCTCTCGGCAGCCACTGCGGTAAAACCCCACTCTACATGACCCTTCCCTCAGAAGTGGGCAGCCCTGCACCAGACCCTGCCTGATGTTGTACCTCAGTGCCCAGCCCTGCACCTGTCCCACCCAACACTAAGCCACAACTCTGAGGTTTCTTTATCCACTCTCCCTCAGGCAAGACTCCTGCCTGCCTATGACTCTCAGCACACAATGGGGGTGACCATGGTATTATCTGCAGCTCCTGCACTGCACACACATCAGACTAAGCGCAGGATTACCAGGTCAGATTCGTCTCCGCCGTCCTCGTCCTCCCCTGTGTCAGCTGACTCCTGGTCTTCCTCCGACTCGCCATCCATCTGATAAGCCATATGGCCAAGGAGAAAAACCAAACCAAAAACCAATTAGATCCTTTAGTGACAGATAAATGGATCTAAAACAAATGTTCAAAAACATATAGTGGTGCATGCTGGAGATGCAAGCAGAAGGAACCCCATTGTCTGTCCACTTGCAGAGTGAGGCTGCCTGGCTGGGGAATGCCCAGGCAGAGAACAAGACATCTTGAGTTTTAGCTACTGCTTCCTGTCGAGATGCCTCATCCCAAATGGGCCGTTCTCCTTGGTGGTGTCACCTTATCACAATAGGAAGATGACCACTCTGTGTACTCAAATTCGCCAGTTAGGCCCTGGGGTTTACTGTGCTAAAGAAGCCCAGTGCACTTGAGGCATGGCAGATGCCCGTAAAAAGTGACATGCACAACAAAAACATTCTCAGAAGCCACAAAACAGTACACAACCAAATCTACTCCACCCACCCAAGAGCAGTCCAACCCCCAGATCTATCAATACTACGCTGCCTGGCCCCTTCCAGCAAATGTACATTTTCCTGTACCTGTCCAAATCCTGAGGACTGACAGGCCTGTGCTATGTCCTGGCTCCCTGTGGGGTACACTCCAGGTTACCAAACTCTTCCCTATACTCCTAATCAACAGCACTTGTGGGTTTTACAATAATGCTTCATTCCAGACAAGCTGAGGTTCTCCAGGACAGACAGAAAGACAGCCCTCTTGTTAACCCCATCCCAATATGGCTAATGTCTGTGTCGCCTGAGGTTCTCACACAGGACTCCCACAACTGCTATCATGAGCTACACAGCCTATTAACGTCAGATCAGCAGTTTTATAGCAGGGCTCTATTTGAACTTTGATGGGAACTTGCTCTGAATTCATAGACAACAAGGGAACAGAACAGTGTGTCTTCGCATCAGACAACAATGGGTATTTTCTCAACTCTTTCAGCAAAACCTGTTTTACTCTTACAGGCATCACATGCTTTGATAAGTTTATTCCTCAGTACTTTGGGAAACAGTTAATCTTTCAATGTAATTTGTAGTTTGACTTTTGGACTACTGCTTTTTGTTTTGTTTTCCTTTTGGTGGTACTAGGATTTGAACTCGGGCCCTCATGCTTGCTAGGCAGGTACTCTACCACTTAAGCCACTCCACCAGGTTTTTGGACCACTGCTTTTTAAAGATCTACACAAACTTATGTGCCTCCAGACAACCTGAGCACAGACAGACAGGACTGGCCACTAGTCACTATAAAATAGACATCTGCATGCTTTTCTACTCAGTTTAGAAAACACCCCTAGGCATTTACTGATTAGCTGACAATGCTGGCATTGCATTCTCAACGTGGACACCTTTTAGGTCTCAACTACATGCAAATTCAGCTTAGTCACTCTAATAGTGTTTCAGCTGGCTGTCCTGGATTCTCAGATGGAAGATATGTTCTCGGCAAAGTCTTCTCCCTTGTCCTTTTAAATATTAATGTTTCTTTCTGCAGCATCAGCCAGAACAGTCGGCACTGCTGTGCTCATATATAAATGCAGCAATCTCGCCCTCGTTTTATGATTGATAAAACAGATGTTCTGGATTTTCACCATTAAATGTTAACATTTTTGGTAGGGTTCTGACTTGTCAGCTTTATTTAATTATGAGTTTGCTTTTTTTTTTTTTTTTTTTTTTTTTTTGCAGCATTGGGGTTTGAACTCAGGGCTTCACACTTGCTAGGCAGGCACGCTACCACTTCAGCCATTCCGCCAGCCCATGAAATTGCTCTTAATTCATTGGGTAGTTGTTTTTTTTAATGTGAAACAAGAGTCCACTTTCTTCAGGAACATACATCACAGCAGTTCACAGATACTATGGACTTGGGACCCCCGTGCTCACTAAAAGGTCACTGATAGGACTGGCAGAGTGGCTCAAGTGGTAGAAGACCTGAGTTCAAACCCCAATATTACAAAAAAAAAAAAAAATCATTAAGAACAATAAAGAGCTTTTGTCAATATACCTACTAACAATTGCTAGAGAACTTCCATGTGGTTCCCTACACTTCCACCCTTCTGTGATGTTCCTTCCCGGGCACACCTGCCCTGCCACCTCCATGCCTTAACCACACCTCATTTTCTGCCTGGAATGCCCTTCCCATTATTCCTCCTTTTCCTCTTCCTGAGACAAACTCCTACTCAGCCTTTAAAGCCCAGCTCACGAGATTCCAAGATGGCGGCTAGAGGGAGGAAGCAGAAAGTGTGCCTCCTAAATTAAAATCTTGCAGAGACGCTGGAGATACACCTTATAGGAAAATACAACATGAGAAGAGGCAAAAATTTTGATCTCCCACACCTTCCGCATGTGCAAGCATCTCCATCACGTTAAATGGAGGAAGAAGAAACCAGGGAGGGCTCCTGCGCTGCCACCAGATGGCAGCCGCCCAGACTGCTAGGGAAGATGCAGGACAAACAAGGTGAGCTTAAGTGGGGACGCGTACTCCCACAGGCAACCCTGGGCCAGATCAGCATAGTCCCCTGGACAGACTGACCCCCATCCAGGGAAAAAAGAAAAAAAAAACTGAATAATAAGCAATAACAACAAAAAAGACATGTAGCAAAGAGGGCGGGTGCCCTGAGCACCAAAAGGGGGGGAGGGGAAATCCCTCACAACAAGCTAGCTGGAGAAGGCAGGAATGGTGGCACACGCCCAGCAACCAGGAGCGGGAAAGTTGTAAAAGTGGCAGTGGGAGGAAAACTCCACAGAAGAGGGGGAAAGACCCACTTTCCATGTGAACTGTAAATAAACACACAGGCCTGAGAAAGCTGCTGCAATGTCACCTCCCCCAGTGTGCTTGGAAAGGGGAAAGCTTGCAGCAGTGGTGGTGGAGCCCAGGAGAACTCTTAAGTAAACAAAGACTGAGGGGCCTGGTGAGTGTTAAGCTCACTCCCGAGATCTGCATAAATAAAGCCTCCAGCAACAGAAGGCTGACAGCAGCGGGCAAGCAAGCCACAGCCTCAGATGGCCATTCACAGAACTGTTTCTAGACTCTTTGTCTCTCTTCCTTTGATGAGACAACAACCAAACTACAGCTGCATGCTGAAAAACGTACTGAAACTGTATTGCACTTGAACTTGGGACACTTTGTGGGTTTTGTTTGTTTTTTGTTTTTGTTTTTAGTTTTTTTCCCCTTTGACTACACAACAGAACTACTTCTGAGACACCATCTCCAGGATTGCAGGCTGAGGGATGAACACCAAAATTATTAAGACTGAAATTTTATTGCATTTGAACTTGGAGACTTTTTTTTCATTTTTTTTTATTTTATTTTTGATTTTCAATCCTCTCTCTGTCTCTCTAATGCCTGTTCAGCTTACTGTTGATTAGTACACTATCTCTCCCTGTTTATATCTTTGAAACTTTTTTGTATATTTTTTCTACTTGTTTGTTTGTTCCTTTTTCTTTAACTTGTTTCTTTCCATCTCCTTTCACCCTTCCATTCTAAATATCACCATTGTTATTATTACAAGCTAGAAAATACTTAATTGCACACAGTACAGGGACAATAACAACACCAAGGCAATGACGGGAGACAGAAAAAACAGGGGAAACCAGTTTCCCCACAACAAAATTAGTACAGGAACCAGAGGGAATGAAGAAAACAGATACTCAGATCCAGACTCCAACAAGATGAAGAGAAACTATGCCAAAGAACCAAATGAAGCCCGCAAGAATAATTTAAAAGAAGACATACTACAGGTACTCAATGAGAATTTTATAGAGATGATACTGGATATGGTCAACCAAAATGTACAGGAGACACTCAAGAAATTCCAAGACAACAAAAATAGAGAATTTGAAAAAGCAAAAAGAAAAAATAAAAGAAACCATAGAAGCACTGTACAAACACCAAAATGAAACAAAGAACACGATTAATAAAGAGATAAATGAACTCAGGACAAAAACAGACAACATTAAAGAGGAAACCATCCAGGATATGGAAAACCTCAGAAAAAAGAACGAAACAGAATTGCAAAACAAAATGGAAGGCCAATCCAGCAGAACAGACAAACAGAAAACAAAACCTTAGAACTTGAAGATGAAATGGTAATTAAAGGTAAAACCGAAGAACTATCAGTAAAACAACTCAAGACCTGTGAAAAGAAAATGCAAGAACTCACCAACTCAATCAAAAGACCAAACCTGAGAATCATGGGTAGTGAAGAAGGAGAAGAGGTGCAAGCAAAGGGAATGCATAATATGGTCAACAAAATAGTAACAGAAAATTTCCCAAATCTACAGAAATCTATTTCCATACAGATGCAAGACGCCTCCAGGACACCAAACAGACCAGATCAAAATAGAACTACCCCACAGCATATCCAAATTAAAACAACAAGTACAGAAACCAGAGAAAGAATATTGGAGGCTGTAAGAGAGAAAAAAACAAATAACATACAAAGGTAAACTCATCAAAATCACAGCAGACTTCTCAACAGAAACATTAAAAGCAAGAAGAGATTGGGGTGAGATCTTCCTGGCACTGAATGAAAATAACTTCAATCCCAGGATACTCTACCCAGCAAAACTATCATTCAAAACAGATGGAGCAATAAAAGCCATCCATGAGAAGCAGAAACTAAAACAGTATGTGATCACAAAGCCACCACTACAAAACATACTTCAAGAGATTCTGCACACAGAAAGTGAAACCCAACATAACCATGAAAGGGCAGGCAGCACCAAATTACAGGAAAAGAAAAAGCAAGAAAGTACAGAGTAACCTCAACTTAGGTACACACAATCAAACCTTCAAACAACTAGGACAACTAAATGACAGGAATCACCACATACCTATCAATACTAACACTTAATATTAATGGACTTAATTCCCCCATCAAAAGGCACCGTTTGACAAAATGGATTAAAAGGGAAGATCCAACAATTTGTTGCTTATAGGAGACCCATCTAATGGACAGAAATAAGCATAGGCTTAGGATGAAAGGCAAGAAGATTTACCAAGCCAATGGCC